ATGCCGCGAAAGAAGAAAAGCCATGACCCATTCTTCACCAACGATTCCCGAAAACGCCAAAAGCCTAATGGAAAGCTTGACCCCGACGACGAGGAAGATGCTGAAATAGAAAGCGATTTTGATGAAGATGGCTTCTTCGCCGGCGTCGAAGACGGTTCCGGGGAGGATCAGGAGGAAGAAACCGGCGCGGAGGCGCGGAAGAGAATCGCGCAGGACTATCTCCAAATGGTTCGACGAATCGCACAGAAAGAGAAGGAACAAAAGGAGGGTGAAGGGGAAGATGATGATGATGAAGGAGACGAGGAAGGAGCAAGAGACTCGCTCGTAGCTCAGAAGTTGATAAAGGAGCAACAAGAGGAAAGTGGACGCGTCAGAAGAAGCATTGCTTCAAGGTTTGTTGCATTCCTTAGCTATTGTTGGTGTGTGTATTTTTGGATTTTTTATGGAACCTTAAGATTTATTTGTTTGATATTTTAGGGTGAAAGTGAATAGTGATGAAGGGTTTAGGGTGTTGGTCAAGCACAGGCAGAGTGTGACAGCGGTGGCTCTGTCTGAGGATGATTCGAAGGGCTTTTCGGCGTCCAAAGATGGAATAATTATGCAGTGGGACGTGAATAGTGGGCAATATGAGAGATATAATTGGCCCAGTGATTCGGTGTTGAAGTCTCATGGCTTAAAAGATCCGCAAGGCTCGGCTGCAAAGCAAAGTAAACAAGTATTGGCTTTGGCTGCGAGCTCGGATGGTCGGTATTTGGCAACTGGAGGCCTTGATCGTCATGTTCATATATGGGATACTCGTACCAGAGAGCATGTTCAGGTGCCTTTTTTTTCTTTCAAATGAATGGTAGCAATGTAGTATGAAGTGTAGTTAGTTGTCTATTTGCTGATTGTTTGGATTGGACTGATTGTGTGTGTATATGTGTATTTTTACTGCCTTTTCTCTAATAAAATTTCTACTGCTATTTTTTTGTTTGTGTGGATATTGAGTGGATTTCAATATAAACAGGATCCTACGTTGGGTCTTACTAAGTAAAATTTAAAGTAATGGACTTGATATGTAGTATTCTTTGTTAACACTGTAAACTCAATGTTTGGAAAACCATAGAACTGTTTTGGCTAATTGTTTTAGGATCTCGGACTGTTAAATTGGGGCTTGCTTGCTGATATTGGATGTTGATTGTTTTTACAGGCTTTTCCAGGTCATAGGGGCCCTGTTTCTTGTCTGGCTTTTAGGCAAGGAACTTCAGAACTTTTTTCTGGTTCATTTGATCGGACAATTAAGATATGGAATGTTGAAGACAGAACATACATGAGTACGCTATTTGGCCACCAAAGTGAAGTATTAAGTATTGATTGCTTACGCAAAGAAAGGATACTGACTTCTGGACGTGATCGTAGCATGCAATTGTTTAAGGTAATCATACAAAGATATGAGTGTTAAGTATTTGGCTATCAACTATCATGCATGTTAAGTATTCCTTGATTTCTTCTACTGATGCTCTGTTCTTCATCTTTTTATCTTTGTGTGGAAAATATTCAAGTAATTAAGTGGAAAACTTTTATCAGCTTAACTTATTTTCATTTGTGAATCCGATTTCTGTTGTAGACTTTCTTAACTTTTTTTTTCTTTTAATGTTTATTCTCCTAATTTAGGTTCATGAAGAGTCACGTCTTGTATTTCGGGCTCCTGCATCTTCCTTGGAATGCTGTTGTTTTGTTAATAATGATGAACTCTTGTCTGGTTCTGATGATGGAAGCATTGAGCTTTGGACTGTAATGCGAAAGAAGCCTGTTTACATCTTGAGGAATGCTCATGCTTTACTGGTGGATAGCATGGAATCAGACCAGAAGAACAGTGAAAGACTACCCAATGGTAACCTAGGTAAACTATTATGTTCATACAATTTCCTTGTAAGCTAGATGTCTCAATATTGATATTTCCTTCATCTGTTTAAATTAATTTTTGTTGAAGAAAATACTTATGATTTGTGTAACATGTCTTGTTTCTTTTGTGTGTTTCTGAAGGATTGTCATGTACGTACTGTAATGCATATGTGGTGCAACATTTTTTAAATATCTCTCTTTGACAACATTTATTACTTGCTATAACAATCTCTCTTCTCTCTCAGTTGTATGATTTGTTGTACAGTTAGTGTACAAGTATCATTTGCCTCTTTGAAAAATGTTGTTTTATTTCCTCTATGATTCTGTAATTGCTTACTCCTTTCATGTATGCACAATATAACAAAGAACATCATAATTTGATGTTGGCTTATTTTCACAATACAGATGTGTCAATTTGTAATGCATTTGCTAGTTATAACTAACCTTATCTTAATATCCTAAAGTAATACTGTTGTCTTCACTCTGCAGTAAATGGTTACAACCATCCTGGGAACAACCATTGTTTGTCAGTATTCTCTTGGGTCAGTGCAGTCACTGTTTGTAGAAACAGTGACCTTGCAGCATCTGGAGCTGGCAATGGTTCTGTCCGATTATGGGCAGTTGAAAGTGATACAAAAGACATTAAATCACTTCATAATGTACCATTGGTAAGTGAAAGGAATAGCAGCTAAACTCAGTTACATTTCCTAGACAACTTTTTTCTTTGATTTTGATTATACTTGTAGCTTCTGCTGAAAAAGGCCTTTTGTTGATTCATTGTTCTTGTTGAATGTATCTCTTCTCTGTAGATCCCCTGTTATTTATTGAAATACTCTCTCCCCTACTGTACAAACCTTACCTTTTTATGCCATGTGATGCATCATTGAGCTTGGCAAGATACTGAACATGGAAAACCTGTGATGCATCATGTTCTAGTAAATTTTTACATAATTTTTTTACGTGAAAAATCAAGTTTTACTTTTAAAGTCAAAATTAATTTCCAAACGCTCAATTAATCATCTTTCTAGTAATAGATTTACATTTGTACCAAGTTATTTGCGGTTGAAAAATCCTGTGGAATCTTATCAAACCCTTTGCATTGCAGGTTGGATTTGTGAATTCCTTGGCTTTTGCAAAATCAGCAGAATTCTTAATTGCTGGAGTTGGACAGGTGAAGTTTTACTATGTCCTGCTTGTTTACTATTATTTTTGTTGGATATAACACTGAAATTTATATTGAAAACTATCATGTACAGGAAAACTGTCTGAGCATTTCAACTTTCTAGTTTGAAAGTGGACTGTTAGCTGTCTAAGATTATTATTAGTATGATAATGAGTAAATTGATATGGTGCTAAGTTTTCGTATCAATATGCCTCATTGGAAGTAATAAGTCAAATTTTTTGTGTTCTCTTGCTGTGTTTGTCCTTTGCCCTTTGCCCTTTGCTGTGTGTTCTTTAACTATTACTTGATTATATCTCTAGTCAAAGGGAGATTTTCAACATTAAGTTGAATCTTAAATCATATTTGAGTCTGATTTGCAGTTGAAAATATCTTATGTCTCATTTAATAAGATGGCTGCAAACTGACCCGAGAATTGGTATAATCAATGAAAATTTTCAATTGGTTGTTTGAGTCTGCTTCAAAATTGTGAAAGTTCATTTTCTGCGATGTGAATTTTTTTCTTAGAATGAAGTTGATCTGTGATTGATGACAAAAAAATTTTGGATTCGCATCTACTATAATTTCCATTTTGGTCCTGCTCTGATGGAGCATAATAAGTGCATTTGTTAGCATCTTATTTCTGTTGGGTTATATAATGCAATATGTTGTCGAACATTATAATATTATTTGATAATATCGTGTCAGGGAGGCCATGGCTCATAATAAATCGTCTGCCAATTGGTTGAGTAATATTGTTGTATTCAGTAATTCTTGAGCTGCCAATTGCTCTCTTCCCCTGCCATTATAACCGTGCTACATTAGTGGTTTCTTCTATCACTAAAGATGTATTTGTCTGCAGGAACCTCGTCTAGGAAGGTGGGGACGTAACTCTGAAGCTCGAAATGGAGTTTCAATTCTTCCTCTGAAGTTGTAAGATGAGGCAAAGCACCTCAATTTTGACATACGAAATGTAACTTTGAGTTGGATTGGCGTCCTTGATCTTATTAGATGTATCAATTACATTCAATTTTGTTATTATTATTATAGATAATTTATTTGTTTATGCATGTTTGTATATGATCTTGTAATTGGAATGATTTTTTAGCAAAAATAGTTCATTTAAGGGCTACTCAAATCCAAAATAAAAGCTTCCGGTAAAAAATCCTTTTCCTTGACTCTAATACGATCGTACCCAAATCTGTTCAACATTTCATGTAATATACAAATTGGATTATAACTTCACACGATTAATTATCAACTAACCACTATTTATCTTAGGTACTAAATTTGATCCTCGTTATAACAGTGACTTTCTACTATCACCAACTCATAAGCTACTGAATCCTGCAATTCACCTTAATACGACACTAAAAAGCCACATTAACCGATGAACACGTTGAAATTACGTCATTATCATACGAATTGATTGAGTGTTAAAACAATGAAGACTGGGAAGTGTATTTGTCTAAGTTTTCTATCATGATAATCTTAAGCTTAAGACCTAGATTTCTACTTATCAAAGACAATTTACTGGATGCACAATTTTATTTTATCTATCAATTTTACCATTGACGTAATTGTTTTTATATCATCTTGTTTAAACGCTCTTATGCCAATTGCCGTTAGTCGAAAGCGGATTTTCTCGAAGACACGCAAGTCAATTTCGTCTTTAATGGTTGTTTATCTAGAGAATTTAATTTTATACCATTTAATTACAAAATCTTTGTTTTTTACCAGCAGAATGAAGTACGAAAAATGTTACTACGCATTAACAGTAGTTGAAGTTGAACGAGTAAGAATCACTGATTAGAAATTGTGCCCAAAAATATAAAGACAAAATGCAGTCCTCTAAAATAACTGGATTAGTATTACTGCAACTTTTTCATGTTGAGAGCAATATAACCTAAATCTTGAAATACTACATAAAAGATGAATGCATAGAAATTCATTGTAACTAGTTCAATCCAACCAGGAAGTCTTTCCGAAGTTGATTCTGAAGCAACTTATACAATATACTGGGACAAGTCAATACAAGTTTCAGAACCCTAAGGTTCATAGTATGTAACAATGAAACGAATCATGTTCATCTCAGAAAACTCATAATTACAAAACGTCCTTCCCTACCCTTCATGTTTTGGCCTTTTCCCATTTTTAGTATGCTTTCTGAGGTTCAAGTCCTTATCAGCAACCATTCCAAGCTCTGCAATGCTAAAGACCGACGTGACCTGAGCTTGGGCGAGGAGCTTCCAATAAAAATCATCATACAAGGTTACTTTGAGAGATTGAAAAAGTCAAGCAAGGACCCATTTTCATACCGAAACATTTGTATCGGAGAGACGTATTGATATGAACAGTTAATATGAAAAGGGTGAAAATTTAGTAGCACCTAGTTGGGCGAGCTAAACAGTTGATATGAACAGGTGAAGAATTCAGTAGCACCTAACAGCATGAGCTATAAAGCCTCATCAAACATTGAATTTCTAGCTTCAGAAGTTCGTGGGAATAAAAATTCAATACTCCTATTAAAAAAAAAAATTGTGCAGAGAGGTCTAAATGCTCTTGCCCAGCCAAAATCCTGGATGTATTTTCCCACCTGATTAATTTTGCATGATTAGCTACCCAAGCCAGTTCACACGAATTTACATTATCTATTCATGTTCGACTCCTTTTTTGTTGTCAGTTGTGTCCTCGTTACTGTTGCCTCCTACATCTGTGGATGGTTCAGTACCATCCGCCGAAGTTGGTGCACATGAACTTGGATTTTCAGTTACTGTTTTAGTTGGCTCAGAGGTTTCAATAGAGTTGAGAGACGCTGATGGCAAATCAGTAGCTGTCTGCTCATCCTTTGTTAATGTAACAATAGACGATGGAGATGGTGAATCAGCTGCACCAGAATCATTGTTCCCAATTTCCCCATTGGGAAGAACATCAGAAGGGTCATTGGCGTCTGAAGATTCCCTCCATTCAACCCACTCAACAGGTTTATCGGTCCCACAATGTTCTAATTTTTGTCCTGCTTCTGGAGAAGATGTTGCAGTGTCAGCTAACTCCTCATCTTCACCAGCAATAACATCATCTCCACTGGCTTTTACAATACCCTCTTCAGCATCAGGTGATGGAGAAGTAGGGGAACCTGTTGAGCGCTCATTGGCTACTCGATCTCTATCCTCCTCGAAAGCAAACCAGTTGGAATTTGTGAATAGAGATCCACTGCATATGCAAGGCATAAGGTATACATCCAAAGAATGTGACAAAAACTAGGCCTGACGTTCAATTCAAAGTAGAAAACAGACACATGTACGATCAACAAAAGAACACCATTTACCTTTCATGGTCATCTCCCAAACGCAGAGAAGATATAACAACTTCTGCAGATTCATCATCAAAATAGACATCCTGCAAGATTGATACCAAGTCACTTTATCATGATCGTAAATCAAATCTCAACCAAAAATCATAAGAAACATCAGTGATGTCTACTAATTTACATAAACATGAGAAAATTAGCCCTAAAGAAAGACACTTTGCAGACTTGTATGATGAAACCCATTAATTTCTCAGCAGATAGCCAAAAATTATGTGGTGGAATTTAAGTCACTATAAGACACCCAAGCAAGAATGTTCATTCCATCTTTAAACAAATTTATCAGAGCATTAACCTGCACATATTTAATTATATATTCATTTCACATCAATTCCAAGACTTCATTTCAAACTATAATAGGAAAATATTATACCTCGTCATCTCGTTCAAGAGAGCCATGAACCTGAAACATATTGTTCAGGAGTCAAAAACTATTGCATAGATCTACTAATGACACAATCTGATAAGCACTAGTATAAACCCAACCACAAGAAAACAGGAGCACAAGAAAGAATTAACACCACCTAAAAATGAGTCAGCCATCAGGAATTTATCATGCTACTAAGCACGATGAAAAAATTGGACACTAGGACAGCTGGTGTAAATAATTTGAGAACAAATTATTAACTTTAGACTAACATAATCAATAAAAACATCTGAAACAAAAGCTGGCAAAACAATGTGCATTCACTCAGCTATGATTAGCAAGGAATGGGAAGGATCTGAGTGTTGCAAATTACTTTCTCATAAAGATGTAGACTGCCTTTACTACCTAACATAAAAGTTTTCAAATATTACTTTTTTAAGTTTCTTTGAACCATGACTGAGCCATTCCATTCTCAGTTATACATATCTTCTTGATATATAACAAACACAGAAATAATCTTCATATATAATATTTGTAGGTATTTCACATACTTCTGACCATTGTGAAGAAAACTATAAGAGCCTTGTGAGAAGAAATCAACACCATATCAGAAAGTGATCCTAATGACGTTCATATATCTTACATAATACTTTATCAATCTCAAAAAAGTTTCAGATATTTCTGTCCTACTGTCAGAGCTATAAAAAATGACACCACAAAATGTTCATTCAGCTGAAGGCAGACAGGAGGTCCCTTGAAATGACTGTACTGTACCTCTTCAATCTCATCATTATTGTAAATGCCATAACGGAAGGCCTGACTTAAGTTATTTGCTAATGCTGCAACATCATAGTCCCGATCTTGATAATCATCCTCGTCACTATCCCTATTTCTGTCGTGCAATGCTGTTGGTCTCCTGTAACAATCAATTAATTATGAATCACCAAAAGAGCCTAATACACAACCACATGATATGACCTACATTGAAGCTACATCAAAATATGCTCAATCCCAACAATAATTCAATAACAGGATTAAAGATCGTGCTCAAGCTTTAGGTTCCAAGCATACAACACATCTCATCCAATTTTTGGAATGTGTTGGATGAGATGTGTTGTATGATAGCAGAGAACAATTTCTTGAGAAGGGACTACGCATTGTTCTACCACAAAATGCGTAAATTCTGGTTTATCCACAGAACATGAGCTTGCCAATATCTACATATAGCAAGATTCTTACAGTTATCTAAAAAATTGGACTTTAATTCTACCATTGTTAATACCTAGTGGGGTAGGTCTGTTGTAATTTTATTGTCATAAAATTAACAAAAATATCCCAATAAATTATTGTCAGCCCTCTTTTGTTCAAGATCATGATCCCAAAGCATAAACTATTGTATCAATTTAGTCGATTATTTTTCGGTAAGGAATAAATCATTCAGCAGTTTAAATATTGTTTTAAATATTATAGAAGTACAGGATGAAGGATCATTTCAAAAACATAAAAACAAAACAAAACGTAGAAGTCAAAATGAAAACCAGCTCATTATTTCAGTAATCCCTCTTCACAAAAAGAAATTTCAATTCAAAAACTTTCGGCAGATATCTAAAAAGATGTTATAAGACAATCTTAATAAAACACAATCTTTTTGAGAATTTATTCACCTCTGTCATATCACTTTTATATATTCTGGAGGTTGAGGTTCTCTTGGTTCAGTGAGCAATGGTCTATGCCTCTAATGGAAACATTTTTCTTGCTTTGAGAAATATATATTATACTCTCATGGTTCTAATGGGTGCTATGACGTTAAGTTTATGGCTAAAGAAAAGAGATTCCGATACCAATCTGGACTACAAATATTCTAACCAGGACTTCTAAAAGCATGATGTCATTCAAAGGAACAGGCAAAATCATAATTTTTCAGCACATTCAAAGAGTGGAAATGTAGATTAACCATGGCATAGAACAAGATAGTGCCAGTTAAGAAATGCAACATACCCACAGGCCCATTGATAGACATTTTCCACAGCATTGCGATTGGATAGAACACCCAAGTACCAATCTGTCCAATCACTATTTCCCTGTCAATTTTAGAAGTTTGAAAATGAGCTTCAAGATTATGAACATTTAACATAAGTACATATTGAAACACGAGACAATTACTTACTGGGACAAGAACGAGAATTGATCAACAGATACCACTACTAAGTTTAAACATTCAAAAAATCATACCACAACATGCTGGAGACATAGTAACAGACCTTCAAATGTTCCTGAATCACACCGTTGTTATTCCCTAACTGGACAAGTTTGTTAGATATACGGGTTAAGTGTCCTATGCATCCTATCCTGGGTGCTGATTTACCCTCAGCAGGTATTGTTGGCTGTAAGAATATTTGCAGACATTAAACAAATATTTATTCATCCCAAAAGATTTTTTTATTTTATTCAATATTTGTATCTAAACATAGAGAACAAAACAGAACACTTTTGCAATAACAAATTTTTTAGGAGGAAGGGGGGGAGGATCATGTACCTTGTTTGTATCAGCTTCCAACGTGAATTGCTTTTCTGCTTGAATAATTTTCCCAACAAAATCACAATGATGGAGAAGATGTTCCAGAAGAGAAGAATTCTTACTCTCCAAGCAAGATGTTATAATGTTTTCCACGTGGTGATGCAAAAAGTTATTGTATGGGTACCTACCACATTCAAACATTATAGCAAGGCATGAGATTAAATGACACAGCACAAGATAAGAGAATTGCTAAACTTACTCAAAGAACAAGTTTATAATTCTTTGTACTGCTCCAAGATCAATCAATTTCCTCTCAGCAGCTTCACCACCAACAGTTACTAACACTGATATAAATTCAACAATCTGAAAGAATAAATGTTCAGTTAAGAATATGGCAAAGCCAAAATATTACTTTTCAACATCACATGTTCAAAACTATTCTACCAATTTCCAACAGATTTGAACCAAACAGACAAAGGCAGCAATTTCAAATAATTAGTTTACCTTTAAACGATGTTTACCGAGAGGCGGTTGTAATTTGCCAAAAGTAGTTAGCAAGAGATTTTCAGCAGAAGAAATATCTAATAGGTTCAGTAAATCACCTGCAGAGTAAGAGCTAGGTCAGAATTTTTCTCCTTTGAAACTCAAGCACATAAAATCAAATATACATCCAGATACGTCAAATGATATCATGATGTAATGTAACATAAGTTTGAATTAATTTAGCTAATTGAACTGATCCCATTTTTCAAAGATGAAATGAGAATTAGAAATCAGTATAACTTTAATTTTACATGTTAGAAAGTGAGGTGGCGGACAACCTCATTGAAAAGTATAAAATTTATTTTTAGCTTGGGGGGAAGGGTGTTGATTGAAGCAACGGGGTGGGAACGAGAGACAGAGAGAGAGCAATAGAAGAACGAAATTGAAAATAAATCAAACCAGTAGAATTGCATATTGGTAATGTAAGTTAAATGGCCTTGTGGTTCACGTATTTAGACAAACTATTTACCCCAAGAGTAGTGGTAGGAAATACTCTCTAACACACTTCTAATTGGTTAAAATTTATTGACAATTATAAAATCGTGAGATATTCATAAATAAGGATGCAGGACCTACAACTGTTAGTATTTCCAATAAATTTAAATTCACTAGAGTTTGTTCCTAGTATTGCGCTTCTCCCCAAAAACACAGTCAAGCCTTTCAGGAGTAGCATATTATATTGCATATTAAAATCAACCACAAACTAGAAGGCATATTATAAATATGGTCTAAGAAGCATAGACAAATTAGAAACTTGAAGCTATGACCTATAATCTGCAATTGCCATTGGCAAAATTTGACTAGTTAGTTACGCACTTTGTTCCATTCAATAGTGTGATAGAACGAAAATACAAAAACATTATTATTCGCTTCCAGTGAAATAGAACGAAAATACAAAAACAATGCCAAATGAAGTTGCCAAAGTCCACCCAATAACCAACCCAGTAAAATTTTTCCATACCCCCCCTCCCCTTCACCCCATGCCCATTGAGACTAAGTACAATGCTTAGCACATTCTCTCACTTTGCCAGCTAGGCAGAGTTAGTTATGCTATTCCCCCCCCCCCTTCTCTCATCTTCTGGTGTTGTACCCTTCTCAGGCCCCTTTTTAGTCTTCTAGAATATACATTAGCAATCTGTTGGGAGCATGCACATGTGTATTGCCTTTGTTGGCCCATTCAAATGGATATCGCTCCTATTTGCATCAAATAGTTTCTCTGAATTTTCATTTAGTGATAAGACTAACAAAAACTCCAATACAACCCTAAATATGGCTACTACACACATATTAGTCCCTTCTATTTCATCTTCATTCATGGGTAGCACCATCCCACAATGGGACAGCTGGCAGCCATGAGAAAGGCTCTGCACCATGTCATTTCAGTGGCAGTTTGGCTGAAATCTGAAACTAACATTTACCACAGTGGCTATTTAAGAACATTACATATAGCTCAACCTTATAATACTAAGAAGATGACTTTGAGACTTTAGAAGAAACAGGTTATTCGAAGATCAAAGTGGATGGAGGAAGTCTTACCTAGGCTTTCTAGCATTCCTTCAACAGTCTCGGGATTTGCAATTACACTAGACCCATTAGTCATTTGGCGGTTATATGTATAATAAGCTCCAAAAGTATGTCTCTTAGGGTCTAGCAAAGATATGCATACAGATAGAGAGTTCACAAGAACAGATTTTGGCCGCGAAACTTCCAGAGCATGACGGAATAATCTTCCTATAAAGCTGCAAAAATATGATGAAAAATGTTGGTTAAATAAAAAGATGCATAAACTTCCAATCTATTAAAACTAAAGAAGGATTGCACTAATAACAAAAATAAGTCCTCGAATAAATCTACCTAGGACTGGAGATCTTCACAGAAAGCCCTGCAGGAGCAAATCGTGTAATAGCACAGAGAGTTTCTGCTGCATTAGCATGTACCTCTGGAGAATCCTGTAAAAGGCACATACAAAGAATGTACTGTCAATGAGAAAGTATTTGGCATTCATAATAAAGAGAAAACGCTTTATATACTTTATCCTTATTCCATTTATTGTAAGTGTTTACTGTATCCGTCTTCATAGGTAATAGGAGTTGAAGGAGGTATTATTAGAGAAAAGTGCAGTATAAGTAATACAAAAATATCCTTGTGTGCAATAAAAAATTACATTCGAAGTGGAAAAGAAATTGCCATTGTATATTTGTTCTCAAACTCAAACAACAAACATTATGAAAATAATCCTATTGTCGATGAGGCTGTTTAAATGCATCACAATTTAATCTACATGATTGATTGCTCTCAACCTAACAATGCAAGGACAAAACAAGGCTAGGCAGCAAAGGTCATTGTTAACAAGAAACAGAGAGAATTTTGCCAGAAAAATTGGCTCAGAGATCTCACAGATGATAACAAAACTATGCAGAGAAGAGGCTGCAGGGGTTAGGGGTGAACAAAAGTCACAGCTACGCAAAAAATGCAGAGAAATCCAGAAATGTTGCCATAGAGGTGGACCCTTGTCTGACAGAACAGTGGGTCAAACTTGGGGTTGAGTATGGGTTGGGCCGGGTTCACCATTTTTCCAACCCAACCTAATCAATACCCTAAATAAGTGGGATATAACCGAGTTAACCTAACTCTGTTATAAAATACATTAATTTAACATTATATATAGTTACATAGTAAAATAAAAAAAATTATAAAACTTAAATTAAGCTATATTTCAATAAATATTTTAAAATAATAAATCTATAAAATAGGGTTATGCTTACACCAAGTGTAAAGTTAGTCAAATTACACCTTCAAACCTTTTTATGGAATGCAAATTTCACATTCTTATTAATTAGAGCATGCATACAAAATTTCATACAATTTTAAAATCACCTAGATATTTATTAAATCAATTAATTTTATCGTATAGCAATATGATATTTAAAAATGTGTGAATATTCCTTACTAAATGCATATCTATAAAATTTAAATTATGTAAAATACATGATCAATAAGATAATATTACATAATTCAATGGTTTGATTGATTAAAATTGTGTTTTATAAAAAGTTGAATGTGTAATTTAACCAACTTTTTCACCTGGTGTAAACAAATCCTATCCTATAAATATAATATCATGTGTTTACAAAATATTGTACATTAAATAAAAGGGTTCATTATTACTACACACTTACTCAAAAAACTTGTATTTCAAAGAGAATATTAAGACTAAGCCAGGTGGAATCGGCTTGAAACACAATCTGACCCTGTCATGAAAAAATACATCGGGTCTATTTTCAAACTCAAACACATACAAATCAACTTTGAGTCGAACTAGCCTATCTGGTTGGATTGGGTCATGCTCACCTCAGAACAAAGGGCATGCAAGTGACTGAGGGACTAGGGGAGAGGGCGAAATCCTTAAGTGACTCCCCTAAATAAGGCTCTTTCATCATTAAAGTACATTTTTCCGACACACTCCAACAGCACTCACTCCCCAAGATAGTCAAAATCGAGATCTTACTTAAATCAGAAAGGGTAGTATAAATCGTAAATCAAAATATCATACTACGGATTGTAAGATTCTACAAAATTTATGAAATTCATATATATGGCAACTATTTAGGTTAATAAAAAAGTAATATAATAAGCACAAAAAACAGCACTGCACAGTGAGAGGTTTTTAAGTTACAAATTATGAGAAAAGGAAGAGCCTGTAGTATTTTTTCGGTTTTGAGGAAAAATCTCAGTATTTTAAGTTACTGCAGTACAAATTATGAGAAGAGTAAGAGTCTATATTTTTTAGGTTTTTAACACATTAGTATAATTTTCCACTAAGAATATTTATTGTAGGCTTTTAAGTCAGTGTCCATTACAGGAGAGGAGAAGAGTATTTTATTTTTTGCTAGGCTAAGAGTGGAAGTGCATATTGTGCTGAATTATTGGGCTTTAGGGTTGTTGGGCTGACAATAAGATTTAACCTAATTACATTTAGGTCACACATGGATGAAGATAGACAGCCGCACACTTGCAGCTGCCACACCCACACGACAGTGTTGCAGCCGTCGCACCCACTCAACAGGGACATCCCCGCCCACGCCAGCATTGCCGCACCCATGTGGACAGAGATGCCACACCCACATGGACAGACAGGCATTCCCACACCCACATGGACAGACAGGCATTCCCACACGAGTCTTGATCTTCATTGACAATCTCACGTGATCCGTAAAAATCGGTATCTGGTGACATGAAGAATTGAAGGAGAGAAAAGACCATAGATTCATACGATCTTACATTCCAAATTGTCATTTTGACTACCATGCTCACTCCAGCTGCAATTTTGCAGGATTTTCTGTGGCTATTGGGCAACCACTGAAGCATGTTCCAGGCACTTCACAACACAATTCTGCAACAGCACTATATGGTGCTGTTGACAACTATGAAAGAAAATATACCTCGTATGGAAAAGAACATGATACGGTATTATGGTAACACTCCGTAATTAAAATGGTTAATACAAGTCAAATGGGGCACTGAGATCTATTATTGAAGTAGAAAGTAATAAAAAAAAGAGGTGACAAATAAAACATAAACATAATGTGTTCCATCTGATCATACAAAATCATATACCATCATTGTGCACATATTTAATTCACTTACTTGCCTCACATATCAACTTAAAAAATTAGCTTTTAATTTAATCCATCCAAACCCCATAACACCTTTAGATTTGGAAATGATTTAACATATCCAAATCCTCCACTAGAGATTTTAGCCAACCGATGATACTTACCGAAGAACTGAATTTATCCACAATCATCTCAAGCACATTAGTATCTTCAATCCACTGCATTGCATTCACATGACTTACATACATATGTTCATCAGCACCAATCAAGCGTATTAAAACCTGGTATTTAGAAGAAAAGTTACCAATAAATTACAAATATACCAAAACACACAAGCATAGAATACAGAGGAATAGAAATTCAAACCAACAAAAGTAATTGATTTTATTTAGATATAACAATACTACCTCCCATGCACATGTATCAGCAATAAATACAAGTAAAACAAAAGGTTTGAACTTACAGCACCAAAGATAATGCTTAATAGGGCAGTGTAACAATTAAAAATAAAGTAAATACTGTCAGAAAAAAACCTCCATGATAGATGTAATTCCAATCAACTCCACTAGTTTCTTCACAATTTCCTGGTGAGCCTGGATAGCCATAAGGACAACATATCAGCAAACTGATAACTGCAACCCAATGAATGCTAACACATCAATGAAAATAAGTAAGCCATTCAGTCCATTGCTAGAACATATATCACCAGGAAATATTCCTCAAATAATTCCATCAGGTCATATCCTTTGATACACACACACTTCCATTTCCAACACATATCACACCTTCTATTTCAGTTGTTGTAATAATATAATAACCATGACAGGAGTGAGAAAAATCTGTGGGATATCTTTTCACACCTAATACACATCACACTTTTGTTTTTGTAGTTGAGCTATTTTAAAAGCCAGAACAAGATTGAAGAAAGCATTTAAGGTATTTTTCAACTCACAAGCTTACCATCTGTTCTTAGAGTTATAACCATAAGTACAAAGAAGAATAAGGGAAATAGACATGTAATATGACCTACTTAAACTTAAAATAAAGCAAAAGCCAAAGTCCATAAGCAACACAAATAAAACTAACATTACAATGTATTTGTAGCCACTCAACATTCAAAACTAACATCAATGCACCTGAACACCCATCATAAAAGAAATTTCACAACACATTCCAGAATTAACCTAACTCTACTACTGAATTTGGATTATAAAAATGCACCCAAACATATCACTTGCTTCCAGACCACATAAGCTCCTTGGAAATTCAGTTCAATGTAGCAATGCTGGCTTGCCAGGTCAGAAAGGTGTCTAGTAAAATAGTTAAACCCACTTATAATTACTTCCATAGCTTGTATCCTCGTCATCAACAATGAAGCAACTAGAGCACAACCGGATACTACCACAAATTCAAAACAAGCCCAAGCAATACCATAACTTACTGATGGGAACAGCTTTGATCATATCTTTCACATTCCATGAATAGTGATTCTCAGCAATACTCTTATGTGATACAATATCACAAACAGCTATATAATATCAATTATGTTTGGTCGTCTTGTGATATATCTACTTGTCAAATGTAAATCACTTGGTTGTCATAGAGCACTGCTTTCTTTATCAGAAACTTGCCGATGGGAACAGCTTTGATCATCATAACTTTGGCTTTTCATGAATAGTGATTTTCAGCAATAGTCCCATGCGATACAATATCACAAACACCTATATAATATCAATTATGTTTGATCGTCTTGTGATACATCTACTTGTCAAATGCAAATCACCTGGTTGTCATAAAGCATTACTTTCTTTATCAGAAGACACAAAAATTCACTCATTAGACCAGTGCTGTCACAAAACGTAGCCTACTTTATTGCACTTGGAGGCAATACTCATTTAGCTAGCTAGGTTGGAACTGATAGTCAAGGACGGTCACGGCAGTTAAACATAGAAAATAATTGCTTTAGAAATCAATTCTGTATTAGAAACTCCAAGATGAAAGTTATGCATAGAAAATAACTGCTAGTAGTTAGTTTTATACTAGAAACTGTCAGCTGGAAACTGTGTGTAGAAAATAGCTGCCAGTAGTTATGCATTAGCAGTATATATTTAATAGTAGGTTCTGTTATCAAATGTATTAAAGTTATTTCCACAAGGTATATTAAGTTATTTCCAGTTTGTGAACAGCGATTTTTCTCTGTAGGAGACCTCAGCCTCTGGGGCAGCAACTGTATATCTAATTTGTGTATAGGTAGTCTTTTGACTATGGGACAACAACTGTATTGCTGTGTTATGTTGTGTGATTTCTATGTTCAACATTGTATTTTATTACTTATATCAATTGGTGTTTTATCACAAATACTTGAGATATCCAGAAGTTATATATATATATATATATATATATATATATATATACACACACGAAGGAGCAATTTGCACACTATTTAAAAAGAAGCAGAACATACTGTGCCTGTAGATGGAAGCAAGCCACAATTCAGAATAGTGGAGGAGAACCACTTTTTACAATTGCAAGAAGGACATATAATATATATTATCTGAAGTTTAAATCTAACAGTCTCTCTTGTGCTAGAGCATATATAAATTATATGCACCAAAGTTGGAACATATGAATAGAATTTGAGACCCTCTCAGACTTTGTCATGACACCTACGAAAATGACTTATAAGATAGGATTTGCATCTCATGTATATAATTACTTAGTCAAATAGTGATATGGGATTTCTAATACTGCATCATATCCTCGAGCATGGGTGACTTCCAACAAGAACAATTCATTAAAATTTATCGCTTTCCTCTCTTTTCTTTTCTTTCAAACAAAATATATTCTTTCCATTCATTTCTTCTCTCTTTCACTTCAACCAAACAACCTCACTTTCCACCTATGATGCACGAATACGTTGAAAAGTCCAACGTACTAATTCACCCCGATACTTAAAAAATTCGTATCGAAAACGAATCTAAACAAAAATAAAAACAGAATAACAAATATTTTTCTATTATTATTATTGTTAAATTAATCAAAACATATTTCAATTATTTAAATACTTATCAAAACATATTTCAATTATTTAAATACTTATCAAAACATATTTCAATTATTTAAATACTTATCAAAACATATTTCAATTATTTAAATACGTATCTCTTTCTCAACATTTTATTTTGAGAGCTTATAATTTTATGTTGAAAAAAAAATTCAAACAAAAATAAAAACAGAATAACAAATATTTTTCTGTTATTATTATTGTTAAATTAATCAAAACAGATTTCAATTATTTAAATACTTATCAAAACATATTTCAATTATTTAAATACTATCCTCTTTTTCAAGATTTTATTTTTCTGAGAGCTTATAGTTTTATGTTGTTGATGCCGCTTGTTTCTCCTTGATTTTCTATCGCTTCCTCCATCACGGGTTTGTTTCTTATCTATTCCCGCATTTATTTGTTTTTTTGCTTCCTTTATAAGATTGTTTTCCATTTTCTTTAGTGTGTGTAACAGCTCCAACTTATAGAGTGTTCCAGCGTGAGTTGATGTGTGCAACACTTTTTCCACGTGAGATTCACTTCGTGTTCCCGATATTGGGTGGTAGGTAGTATATTATTTATAAATTTTAGTTCATATATTTGGATTTCAAAATATATAATATATTATTAATAATATATATTATGTTTTTAGATTAACTTTATTTAATAATTATTTGCTCAATGAGGAAATGAAATTGATACTATTTCTATTTCTAAACAATAAGTAGTTACTAAACAATAAATAGTTATTGATAACTTTTATTTTACATTTAATTTTTTTAAAGTCATATATATATATATATATATACACATATGCATACAAATCTTTATTATCAGTGGGATATTAAATCAAAATAAGTAACAGATTTGAGGAATATGAATTAATAAATAAATAACTAAGCTCTGCTTTTTTCCAGAATCAAGTTATAATCATAATAGATAACGTTATTAGAAGAGGACAACACAAAAAACTTTTGTTCTTCAGCATATCCAACTAGCGTTATTTACAGAAAATGCATCATGGTCTGCAAGAATCATTTGCACACAACAGTTCAATGTGTAACAATAGCATGCCAAGAAAGATATGCCTAAATAATATAATTAAGTGGTGGACTTACTTGAACATATTGCAGGAAAGGAACTGTCTTACGTAACAACAGGCATACAACTACCTAGCAGCATAAGAACTTAATAAATACAATGGCCAAGATTATTTGTAGAAGGAAATTTGAAATGGAAAATAAATAATTAAATTTAAAAAAGGACAGAAAATTAAACAGAATGCAAAGTTCTGATATCAATGAGAAAGGAAAGGACTGATCAAGTCACCCAGGACTAAATTTTAAAGTAATACAATTTTGGAATCAAATCAAAAGTTTCTGTCCACCATAAAAGTAATTCTGTTGCCTAACTAAACATGTAGAAAGCATCAAATTTCAATAAATCAGTACCTTGCTAAAATATCCTGCTAGTAGGTTACTATGGGAGTGATTTAGATCCAAAAAGGAGAACAACAAATTCATCAACTGCCAACAAAAGAATGAGGTAAGCACTCCTTAAAAAAATTACCAACAAAAACGGGTATAAAAGTTGTTGATGACTTACTTCCTCATCCTCTATAAGAGTTTTGAGTATAATATCAACTTCACAGGTAAATATCTCACAAGCAATAAAGGGAAACCTATTAAAAATTAACAGCAATAAGATGTCAACGCAAATATCCAGCGAAAGCGAAACTCAATCAATATTCATTTTGAGCATCCTACTTAAAAGATCGCTTCTTTTCAGCATCCTCTGGAGCTTCTTCAATGATGTATCTTATCAACTGTTCAACCTGTGCTTTTGCAGACAAACTGCAACAGACAACAAAAAACTTAGTTAAGTGCAAATGAATTAAAAGGGTAGTATAGTCGGCCAAATCATACAATAAGAAGCCACAGTTGAAAGAACAATAAAGGGAACAATTTATCCCAAACAATAGTATGCTATCAGGATTCAAGCCAAAGGAATCTATAATTTAAAAGCCTAGAGCCGAAGAAGATACTCCAGCAAACTATCAACTAAAAGGACAAAATTATGTGTGTAACTAATTATCTTACTTGAGAGAAATGTTTACGGTGAAAAGACAGTCTCAAATGGCACTGGTAGTGCTATATTAATATATGAGAGAGGATACAAAAAAAGTTGGACCTCAGCCCAAACCCTAATCCTAAACCTAGGAACAAACATCAGAAAAATTAAAAATAAAACATATCTTAACAATCTTAATCATTTAAGTATTTTAGAAATAAGAGATAAAACAATTTTACTAACATCGTTAGAAGAAAAGAAACTGGAAGCAGCACCAAAGAGACAATCTCTACCCTTTTCGCAAATAATTAACATAGAATGCATACAATTGCTAAGTCCAAAACTTTAATACACTAGAAAATAGGAATGTCTATTAAAAACTAAGCTCAATTTTTTTTTTCATACTTGTATTATCTTTCTGAATTAATATTAGCCTTTACTTTTTCCATTATGATTTTAGCCCCTTAAGTTACCAATTACATATGATCTCATTGTAGCAACTTTTCATCCAAACTATATGTGCAAATGATTGTTGCCTAAAAACTTCGTTAAATAGTATAATCAACTGTGATCAATGTGTCCTCAATGAAAAAATTCAAGGTCACTCAGAGTTTGATGGATCCGTGAAATTGTGATGCGAGGTTAACGTAAGAAGATTTTCAGGTTAGTGAATCAAAAGTCAACCTTCAAATGACTTTTAAAATAACAAATATAAAAATTAACAAACTTATAATACATGATGACTTATGATTGAATAATAGTGTAAAACATATTTCATTTAAATTCTTAATAAAACAATTTGGATGAAAAATCATACGTCGTCTAGGTGGTAAATTGGGGGACTAAAAGAACAAATTGACAACAGAAGGACTAAAACTAACATAACAAAATAATATGCATTAAAAACTTATTAAATCTAGAAAGACAAATGTTTTGCATCAATTCCAAGAAATTTAGTATCAAACTATGCTTTCAATAGCACATTTGGAAAAACAGTCTGAATTAATTTAATTAACAAATTTAGGAAATTAACATTCTGGGAAGACTAAATAGGTAGCAGCTCTCCTGACCTTATTATTAATAAAGAATGAAATGAAATCATTAAAATAATAGCAGGAATATTGTTAGGATATATGAAACGCACCCAACAGTATCTTGATCATATCTTAGAATGAATTAGAATATCTAACAAATTATCTTAGGTTGGTCTTTCTAGTTCTTTATTTTCCATGTTTCTTAATATTTAATTATTTATTTTCTTGTTTAGTTATAGGTTTATCTCTTCATGTTTTTGTATTAGCAATACATCATACTCATCAACATTGATTTCAGAGCATTTAGTCTCTATTTTCCCTATACATAATGCCCTATAATTTCCTGCTGTGCAATTCATATTATCATTATGTTTAAATGCGGGTAACAAAAATACATTTCTTTTATAAAATTTTACTTCCAAACTTTTATTGCAATGAAATTCTTTTCCTTACAAAAATAACAGATAGTGATTCTCATAGGTTTACTATGATGAAAGCCTCATGCACTGGGCCACCCTTTTAACATTAGTATGAGTCAAACAATAAGAAGAATTTCTGTCCTTTCTTCACTCTCTTGATTCCTGAACAAGATTTACTTTTAGACAAAGGCAAGTAAATGAGTATTATGTCAATGGTTAGATATTTCACAATAATTACAATAAAGACATGAAAAACGAGTATATCCCTAATTCCCTATTTATTATCACCACCAAGCTGACAATTTTTTTTTGTTTTGAAACAGATTAAAAGTACATTTAGGCAAACTAGCAATAGGAATGGCAAAACTTGTTAGGCCAAGCGCCTTAAATTGGTGGGGCGGGGCAGCCAGACCCCAGCCCATTTTTGAAAAATATTTACATATTAAAATAAAATAATTATAATTAAAAATATTATATTTTTTAAATTAAGTTGTTGGAATATGCAAATATACTATAATATTATAATTTAAATAATAAATACTAACCAATTAAACTTGAATTATTGATTATAATTGAGTATTTTAACACACAAATGTAATAATTTTCTCAATCTATCTAATAAAAATATTAATTAAGGAATAAAGACTTAAAGAATATTTATATAATTAAGGATATATTTAATATATATATATATATAATTATATATAAAAAAAATATTTGCGGGCTGTTTTGCTAGCCCATCATACTGCTTTTTTACGGAGCAAATTAAGGTTTATAACTCATTTTGACTATAAGAGACCAATTCACTCTGTACCGTTTTTTGCAACACAGAGGCGGGACAGGTCAAAATGGAACAGGTTGGCCCATTTTGCCACCCCTATAGCAAGTCAACAAAATAGAAAGTCAGAACAATACTTTGCTTCCTAATCTAATTAATTAGAACGTAGAGGCACAAGTCCAAAATGATAAAAGACAGAGTAGGGATCGCTTTAGTGAATTAAAGCATGTCACTCAACCTCATCCTCACCTTCAAACAATAATATTGAGCCAAAAGTACTATTCAAAGGTCAGTTTTTATTATGCTGGTAAATAAATTATAATTGACTTCTTAATGATAGTTTCTGCAAAACAAAAACTGAACAGGGAAAGCAACTAGGTGCATGTTTGGATAACTGTTCTGAACAAACTTTTGGAAGCTGAATATACTTCTAGAGAAAGATACATTTTGTATCTTTTACTCTGAACATAATTTTAGAATGGGTGCAACAGTGTTACCCAAGCATGCACTAAAAATACACTGCAATAATTTCAAATATGAAATACATTTGTAATAACAGAAAAGAAGAGCATTACAAATTTATAAGGCGACTATTGAGGGCTTTGCATTCCTGAATAATTTCATCCTCATCAAGTAGTTCATCCAAAGTAAAGTTCTCCTTATCCAAAATGGTCTCCACCTGCAATATAATACACCAAATACATAGTAAAAATATTATCGATAGGTACTTATATCATTTTAAAAATTAAATTAAATTAAATTAAACAAATCTACTCTAGCCCCCAAGAAATAGCCAATAGAAAAAATTATTGGTTTCAAGCCTTTCCAAACAACCACAAGGGACACTTTTCACATGTATGCATAAGAAATGGGCATATTTATTTTTTCTTACTTTTTTTTTACCTCTAACATAATTCTTTTTTTCCATTTTGAATGATATCCGCTCCTACTTATAATTGTTACTTAATCTATTTTTCTAATAAACTTAATTCTAGAATTAAAAAAATTCTCACGATAATAATTTAATGATCTAGGAGGAAAGGGATAGAAAGAAGGCATAAATTAGTCAACACAAGGATGAAAATATATGACATCAGGAATATTAAAGAAAATGTTACAAATGTGCAAGATATTTGTGAGTACTGGTACAATGTCTTCTAAAAAATTCCAGCAGACAATAAGAAATCATCCTAACTACAAATAATAGAAGCAAGAGCCCTCCAAATTCTCCGCATATCAGTTACAGACAAAAATTCTGTCCAGCAACAATGCACATAACACAAAACCAAGGCCACGTACACAACCCTATTTCACAAAAAGTGAGAAGAAGTGAACAGCATTAAAAATGTGGCCATTTTTCTACAACCAAATACACCATAAAATGTGGCCATTAATAAATATTTAGACAGGAGTAAATATATACTCATAATTGCTAAAATTAAAAACTTCTACAATGAAGAATGGCAGCTCCTCATCTTTACCTATTTTAAAATAACTGAAATCGTGACCAACGCAGGTGATGTAAATACAGCAAACACTAGTTTAATTCATCTATCCACAAAACAACAGAAAAATCCAAAATTGATCATTCACACACTCCTCAGTTCTGTTATCGATCTATTTATCACTTTCAAAATTCTGAAATACAGGGACTACCCTAGAGTCCTCGTCCTGGTGTGGCACTAACTACAAACTGGCAAGACACCGTAAGCCATCGCTGCACAATCAGGTACAGAGTTACATGCACCAATTCAATTATTCAAAACATCCTATTGATTAAACAAATCCGGGAAAAAAGACACTGAGATCACCGTAGAGTAAATAAAAGACAATAACGCTCCATATGGTCACACTTCCCGAGAAACAAAAAGGAAAACCAAACCAACCAAACACCGCATCCAGGAAACAACCGAGACCACCACAAACACACATGAATCAGTGTCGGCGCAGCTTGCGCGAATAATTGAAGAATGAGAGTCTCGTAACTCACCGGCGATGCCGTGGACAAACCAGCCATGCGCCAAAACATGTTGATTTTCTGAAGAAATGGCTGGGAATCGAGAAAGCGGAAATCTGAAAACAGATCTGGCAGCGCAGAAACCCTAGCGCTCTGCCCCAAATCGAATTGGTGAAATTATTATCTGAGCGGAAACCCTAGAATCGGGGACGACAAGACAGAGGGAGATCAAATCGAAAGAGAGAAACCATAAACAACCTTCAATCGCCGGAGAAAGGTTGTTTACATGTGATGAATGAATAATAGCATCACAACAATCATCGTGTGCCAATGTATATATATTTTTTCTGAATTCATATTTCAAATCTAAATAGCTGGTGCCAGGATTTATTTTTCTTTATACACTTTATTAATTTATTTCTTATTAAAAATATTAAAGTTTTATGAATTAAAAATATTAATAATAATGAATTGTGATAAAAACAGATAGTGATGTAGTGTTTCTTTGAATTTTTGGAAAATAATAATTTAAAATATATAAAAAAATATTATTTATATGAATTTGGGAATTAGTACTAAAATATACTATTTATGATTGCTCCTCTAAAGTTGGAGGATAATTGCTGATGTCCACTTGCCAACATCAAGCACTTGCCTTCAATTTTTTGGATGATATGTTTGTTGGTGAATTTATTTTTTTAAGGTTTTTACTATGTAACTTTTGTAGTCATGTATTGTCATGCCTATTGCTTCATCACTTGACCCACGGTGTTTAGTTCCTAAGTAAATTGTTTTATTAGTAATGTTGTACATAGTAAGAGGGAGATAAAAAAACATGCATCCTTATATTAGTTCTCTCTCACTTGTTATATTTCAAATATATATTAGATCTTAAATTGTTTTATATATGATCAATTATTTTATTTGTTATAGGAAGTTATTCATGATTGTTAGCATTTTTAAAGGAAATTAGTGAATTTCAATTACTAATATAACAAGAATGGTTAAATTAAAAGGAAACAGATATAAAATCAACAAAATAATAAATTGAGAAAATTGATAGTTAACATTTTAACTTTTAACCTAACTGTTTATAAAAAGATGTAAAAATATTAAGAGTGTTTAATTAAAAGTTGTAATTTGAGTCAGTATTATTGGACTTTGACCATCATTTGCAAGTAAAATTTGTATTTGTATTGTGTCATAAAAAAACAAATGAAACATTAAATAGTTTTTATAAAACTGATATGTAGTATATACTTTTTATTTTTGTCTCACAAATAAATACATATATGTGAAAAAAAAATCCTACAAATTAATTATTTACATATCAAGATGTACATAAAAAATGTTGCACATTAAATAGTGTCCATGAAATTGACCAACTGATTAAAATATTATATATCTTTGTCATGTTGACTACATGATTAATTGACCAAAATATTACAAATGTGTTTATCCCCTCTTTATTAAACTATGTCATTCCATGTGTAGACTAAATACAATGAAATTATTTGCTTATAATATATTATGCTGTAATACATTATGATAGAAGAAAAAAAAATCATTTTATGTGCACTTAACATCTCTAATCATATAAGGCATTCCAATAAGTTATATTAATTCCATGATTATGAAAAAAAAATATAAATTTACAGTATTCATATATGCTAAAGATGAAAAAATATTTGTATCATGTTTTTTCTTTTCTTTTAACAAAATTCCAAAAAACATTGGGTATATTTTATGTATTTTTGGATTATTTTGTTATAGTTTTTAAAAATATAACACTGTTTTAAAAAACAATTTTAGAAGTAAAAAAAAAGAAAAAAAAACTTTTATTTACATTTTTATGTTTTTAATATTAAATGATAAAATATATAATGTCAAACAATTTTATGTAACTCTCATAAATGATTTATAATATAAAAAATATATTTATATATTATGTTTGTCTTTTGTTTCTTTCTTGTTTCTGTTTGGAGAAACATCTCACTTAACAACTTTCTACTTCTGTCATGGCAAACATGTTGTTTTCTAAGTACGTAGGAGTAAGATAGTTAAATAAATAAAACTATTTAAATAAAAGTAGGACCAACTAATTACTTATGTGTAAAAAAAAAAATATATCATGATCGTGATCATAAGTAATAAATAATATAACCAAATTTTTCAGTTACAAACAATAATGCATAATACTATTTTATATGTTTTAATGTTTATTTTTTTCATTTAATAAACGTGTGATATGGTATACTTTCCACATTGTTCATATTCTCTTGTATTGTAAAATCTTAAATATTTTAAGAAATTCTTCAATTTTGTAGATTATATCAATGCCTTCACTTTATTTGTGTAATTAATTCTTCACTTTTGTATGTAACTATTTATTCACGTGCATGTAGTAACAAACATTATAACCACAGACAAATTAAAATGACTTATTTTAGAATTTGATAATTTTGTAAAAAAAAATACAAGATATTGTTAATTTTAATATAATAATACATTGGTTTACCGCATACAAATAAAAAAATAGAAAATAAAGAAAAACAATAGTAGAGAATAACAATAGTATTAATGTGGGTAACAATAACTATATATATTTTATGAACGAATATGCACATATATAATATAATAATGTATAAGAAAAGATTTAAAAGAAATAAAATTAAATAATTTTTTACTTATAATTTATTATCACTTATCCTCAAGTAAAAAAGATAAATCAACAATACAAATTTACTCTCTAAGACTTTTAAACCTTTTAAACTTTAAAACTTTTGTTAAAATGTTAGTAAGTTGTATCTCAAACCTATAATGTTCAACCTCAAGTTTTCCATTTGAAACTTACTCACAAATGAAATGAAATTCAGTTTTAATATGTTTACTTCTACCATGAGAGTAGATGCTTGACAAAATTTATTGCAGATTTGTTATTAATCAACAACTTCAATTTACATGTTTGTTCTATCTTCAATTTCTTTATCAGTGAACTCAGTCAAATTGTTTGACAAACTGCTTCAGAGGCAACGATATACTCAACCTTATACAAGATGAGAGAGCCACCACTAGTTTCTTTTAGAGCTCCAAGAAATTGGTGTTTGTCCAAGGATGAACAGGTACCCAATCGTACTCTTTCTATACTCTTGTCACCACACCAACCAGCATCAGAATACCCCATCAACACATCATCCCCTTTTGACAACAAAATTTCCAGACTTTCAATTCCATGTAGGTATCTAAGTGTGCGCTTCACAGCAAGAAGGTGTGATATTTTTTGTTCACATCAACCAAACACTAAAATTTAGATATGGTCTAGTGTTACACAGACACCTCAAACTTCAAACAATGCTTTAGTATTGTGTAGGATCAACCCCCTCTTTATCAGGATTTTTCTCAAACTTCAATCCTACTTATACATGTGTGTTGACAGGATTACTTTGCTGCATTCCAAATTTCTTCATCATATCACGAACATACTTAGTTTGATGCATAGTCATCCCACATAGAGTTTGTTTGAACTTAATACTTAAGAAATAACTCAGATTTCTCAAGTCACTCATCTCAAACTCCTTTAAAAGTTCATTCTTGCAACAAGCTATCAACTTTGCATTGCTACAAGTGATCAAAAGATCATCAACATACAAGCATATGATGATTTTTTCAACTCTATTATTGTTCTCCCAGACTTTTACATAGACTCCATGTTTGGACATACACTTAACAAAGTCAATTTTGTCATTAAATCATCAATCCCCTTGATCCATGCTTTCAATGCTTGCTTAAGCCCATATAAGACCTTTTTCAGTATATACATTTTATGTATATACCTTTTTCAATATATACCTTTTTCAGTATATACCTTTTTTAGTACAAACTCCCTAGGTTGTTGCATATAAATCTCTTTTTCAAGAAGGTTATTCAGAAAAGTTGATTTAACATCTAACTGGTATAAGGACCTATTAGCATTTGTGGCAATAGTAACCACTAATATGATGGTTTTAATCCTAACAACAAGTGCATAGACTTCACATAGTTTATTCCAACTCTCTACAAGAAGTTTTTGGCTACAAGCCTTGTTTTGTATCTTATAACCTTACCCTTTGGATTTACTTTAATCTTATAAACCCACTTGAGTGTGATTGGTTTCTTGTCTGGTGGCAACTTAACAGGCTCTTAGGTCTGATTTTTTTTTAATTGAATCAATCTCTACCTACATAGCTTTTCACAAATGAACCTCTTTGACTGCATGTTCGAACATGATTGGCTCAGACTCTACAATGAGCGCAAAATGCATTAGATTTTTCTCTACTAAAACATTTGAGTCACTAAACACTTCATAGTTACGAATATGAGATGGGAGTTGTGTAACTCTGGATGATCTTCTCGCATCATGATCAACTAATTTATTTTGTTCCACTGGATTCTCATCTTCAAATAACACTTTAGAAGCATTTGAATTCTCTTTGGTGGTTGTCCATGTTCCAACTGGTTGACTCATCAACAAAGACATCCCTACTAATTGACACCTGTTTTGAGATTGGTCAAATAGCTTGTATCCACCTGTCACATGATAACCAACTAGAATTTGTGGTGTGCTTTTATCATCAAGTTTCTTTCTCAGTTGCTCAGGTACATGCTTATAACACACTTATCTGAATATCTTAAGGTGTGACACATCAAGGTTGACACTTGTCCAAGCCTCTTCAGGTGTCATCATCTAGTAGACATATTCATCACATGTGTAGTTGTGGTGACTACTTCTCCCCAAAAATAATTTAATAAAGACTTATTTTTCAACATGCAATAGATCATATCAGCATTACCGTTATGTTGAGGAGTGTACAGTGGAGTAAACTCATGGATAATGTCTTATTTCTCACAAAAAAATACCGAATTCGACTGAGGCATGTTCACCTCCACATCAGACTGTAACACATTTATCTTGCTTCTACTTTGTTTTTCAACCATTCTTTTGAATTTTTCAAACATAAACAACACTTTATTTTTCTTTCTTAATAAATAAACTCACATTTTCTTTGTGAGATCATATACAAAAATAACAATATACCTATTTTCACCAGGTGTTTCAACCTGCATTAGCTTGCAAACATCATAGTATACCTTACTAAGCTTATCAGTTGCTTTGCTAGGCACAAATTTCTTGAACTTTGGTCTAACCTACTTGCATTGAATGCATTATCTACAAACTTCCTCTGGAATCACAATTTAGGGAAGTCCAGTAACC